GCCCCAGGCACAGCCCCAGGCACAGCCACAAGCCAAGCGGCCGCAGTCTTACACGGCAGCCGTGATGGCGGCCTTCACGGCCACGATCCTGGCTGGCAGCAAGCGCAAGGCTCCCGAGGCTGCGGCGGCCGGCGCCGCGCCGCCCGCCGCGGCCGCCCCCGGCAGCCAGCAGCCCGCCGCCAAGCAGGCGCGCACGCAGGGGCCGGCCGCCAACGGCGGCGCCGCCGCGCCGCCGGCCGCCGCCATGGATGTGGATGGCGGCGGGCCAGCCCCAGCAGCCGATGTGGGTGTGAAGCGGGAAGAGGCGGCGCCCGCCCCACCGGTGTACCACCAGCGCCCTCAGTGGCCATATGTGTAGCTGGCGCCAGCTGGCATACCTCGACGTGAAGCAGCTGCGCGCCGCTGGTGCAGTCGGCGTGCGCCAGCACTGTACTCGCACTAGTATCGGCAGTACCAGCAACACCAGCAACACCAGCAGCACTTTCTCGCCCCCTCGCCATGACATGCCCAGCGCACCCGGCGCACCCAAGCCAGCCAGCCCCCTACCATCCGCTTCCCCCCAGCACTGTTTTCCCTCCCCCGCCGTCTCCGCGCTGCCTTTTTCTTACCCGGCAGTACCGGCAAGGCCAGCGCCGTGCAGCTGGCGGCCCCGTCCCTCCCATGCGTTCATGTATCCCCTTGCGCCCACCCCCTCTGGGCCGAATGCACAACTGGTCAGTGCGCCTCCCCCTGTGTGTCATCCCCTGGGCCCATCTCGGAGTAGCCAGCATGCCTCCCTCCCTCCTTCCCTCCTCCCTTGCTTGCTTGACCGCACCTGCGGGCGCCTGGTGGCACCGCCGCTCTTAGGTCGGCAACAAGCCACACCGGGGCCCTGGCTCATCTCAAGGCATCTCAAGGCATGCTGCCTTGCAACTCTGCTTACACCTCGGGCATGGATCAGCAGGGGAGAGGAACAGGCATTCGCTCAAGAGTGGAATGAAGCGGAAAGAAGAGCAAGATGGGGGCAGTCACCAACGCAAGGAAGACAGCAAAACATGTGGAAACAACGAATGCGTTGGGGCGAAACTGTGGGGGAGCGAAGCGCCGCCTCGTGTCTCAGAGCGGGTTGGGGGTGGAGGCAGCGCGAGCGGGCCACTCATCGCAGCAGCTGGCCCAGCAGCCACGACAGCGGCGCCCCCTTGCCGCCGGCATGCTCCTCCTCCTCTTGTAGCTGCGCCGCCGTGGCCCGAGGGTAGGGGAACTCTGAAGGGGAGTGGCGCCCCGGGTGGGCTGCGGCCTCGGCCTCGGCCTCGGCCCGCGCCGCCGCCGCCGCCTTCTCCAGCCGCCGCTCCTCCTTGCGCTGCGCCTTGGCCGCCCGCTCAGCCTGCCTGCGCTGCTCCTTGGCGGCCCGCTCGGCCTGCTTGCTGCGCTGCTTGGCAGCGCGGCGGTCCGCCTCCATCTGAGCCCGAATCTGCAGCTCGGCAGCCCGCCCCTCGTCCGTCGCCGGCGCCGCCTGCCCCGCAGCCGCCGCCTGCTGCTGGGGCCGGCGCCGCGTGGCGGCGGGCCGCCGCATGCCCCCCTCCTCCTCGTCGCTGCTGCTGCTGCTGCTGCTGCTATCTGCAGGCGGGGCAGGGGCGCGGAGGCGGGGCAGTTGGTTCGAGGCGGGACGGGCAGCCAGCTTGCGCCGGCACCAGCTTCAGAGACACACTGTCTCTGCCCGCAGCAGCAGGCGTGCCGATCTGCCGGCCTCTGCTCTTCCCACAGCCCCCCGCCTCCCCCTCCCGCGACACACACCCGACTCGCTGTCAGAGCCGCTGTCCTCCGCCTCCCCCTCTCGGCTCGCCTCGGGCATCAGCTGCTGCGCCTCTGCAGCCAGCAGAGGGAGGCAGGCGGGCTCGTGGCGGAGGTGTGGTGGTGCCAGCAGCAGGTTAGGGCGCTGGCCATGCGGCATGCGGACGCTGGTGGGAAGCTGCGGCCGCGGTAGCAGCGCTGGCCTGGGATGGCTTGTACAGGCTATGCGCTTCCCACGCACCTGGCGCTTCAGAGTCGTCCGACGGGCTCCTGCCCTTCATCCCGCCAGCGGTGTCGAGCAGAGGCGCGTCTGCATCGCGCTGGCCGCCTGCCGCTGCGTCGCCGCCGCCCTGGGCTGCAGGCGCGGCCTGGGGCACAGCTGCCGGTGATGCCAGCAGGCTCAGCATGGACAGCTCCACGGTGCGGCGCCTGCAGGAGGGGCGACGCGCAGATGAATAGCCGTCTTGGACGGGAACCGCCGAGGCGGGGGTTGGCGGCGGGTGGGCCAACCGTAGCGGGGAGGCCTCCTCGCAGCAACCAGGCACACACGGTGCCAGAATCACCGTATTCCGGGCTGCTTGCTACAAGACAAGCCATGCGCAACGCGGCGCCGGGTGGCCGGTCTTGCCCAGGAGCAGAAAGCTCGCAGCGAGGTGGCCATTCTTATCGCAGCCTCGGTACAAAGCAGCTGTGCATGAAGCACACTCGATGGCGCTGCTGGGAGCGGGGTCCCAGTTCTCGAGGGGTGGCGGGCGCTTCAGGTCCTCGGGCTATCGTTTGCCAGTCCTGGGCATTGCCAGGAACTCGTGTGTGGGGCCCGGGGGAGTCGACATCTCGGAACCGCGCCTGCCAGGTCGGCTCGAGTTTGGAAGGAGGGAGAATGAGTAGTCGGCGAATTGGCAGGCTCCCACTGTCCCGCGGTGCCTATCCGTTGCTTGCAGCTGCTCAGGTGTATTTGGAGCTGCCAACTCCCCTATTCAGCACAGAGCATTCAAACCAGACATGGCCTCGATAACCTGCTCTGCGGGCCTCGGCTCCCTCACACACACGCATCGGGCGATGCAGAAGACCTGCCGTGTGGGTGGAACCCCTGTGGTGGCCCACCGGGGGTGCAGCAGCGCGCCCAGGGCCCACGGCATTCAGCAGCGCCGGATCGTCGCATCCGCCGCCCCCGGTGGCTTTGCTAGCTATGGACCAGCTGGAGGTGAGGTCCCAGCGACTTGGGGATGCTGGGGAGGGCCCAAGCCGGCTGATTGCCCACCCCCAACCCATGCCAGTGAATGTCTGATCGCGGCCGTGGGGCGTGGCCGGCGGAGTAAGGGCATGTGGGGCGGTTGGGAGGGCGCGTGGGATTGGGCGGGGGCCGATTGGCGCTCCCGCCTGCTTGCCGCCGCCGCCGATGGCGGCCGACATGGCCGCGCCAGCTACCGCCAGCCCCACGCACTCTGAGCCGCCCCGTCCCTTCTCTCCCCTGCCCGCAGGCGATGCTGCCATCAAGGTGCCTCTCCCTTTCTCCCTCTGCGTGCGCCAGACCACCTGCCTCCTCTTGACCCACAGCCTCGCCATTCCCTGCCGCCCCATTCCCACCCCTGCCGCCGCCTGCCCCGCCCTGGTGCTTCTCCCTGCTGCAGGTCATCGGCTGCGGCGGCGGCGGCGGCAACGGTGAGCACCCACGCGCCCGCCGCCTACGCCTCCCGCTTCTGCGCCCCGT